TTGACCTTACATTAATTTTCAATCAGTATAGGCATGTGTGCCAAATTATATATGCAGTACGTATAAATATGCATATAATGGAAAATTAGGCATTATTTGCTAAATTATGGCACCGTGTACATGTACACAGTTATTATGCAATTAACTGAGACTAGCAACACGTGCAAAGTACCTATCACACCATAGAAAGATTCAACCATCTCTAAACTTAGATCTCAAAAATGTGTACTAACTTTATGGCTGGTTGCTATCTAGCTTCAATTTGCATGTGTAGCAAGGTCTTCCCCTGTGGCTGAAAGCCATGTCAGTTGTTGGGGCTCCCAGATATGGGGGGGCACTATATGCAGATGGAACTGGGAGTCCCACAGTGGAAAGGACTCTCTACCCGAGCAGCTGTATGCAGCTGCAAACTCTGGTCCTGGCAACCATGGGGCACTGCTGTGATGTCCCAGTCCTGGGAGTCTGTGTGCAGGGCACGCCACAGCTGCGAGATGGAAGCTACTATGATCTCTCAGCCATGGGGATGTCCCACACACCTCCGTGGTTAGGAGACTGCAGCTGCTGTGATCCCCCATCTACAGGGGTTTACTATGGACCCATGGGACTGGGAGATAGCAGTGGAGTGCTGCCATGACAGAAGTTTCAGAAGTTGTGCTCTTCTAGCCTCAGGAGTCATGGGGCATCCCGTGGCTAGGAGATCATAGCAGTAGTCATCTCCCATCTGAGGAGGCTCCCAGCTGCAGAAGCTTGCTTTCTGCTAGTTCAGGGAGACTCAGCAATAAGGCACAATGGGATCTAATGCATGATCCCACAATCATGCCTCCTTCCATGCACATTTGGCATGGCAAAAGGTGCGACTGTTTGGATATCACCTTAGATCACATTGCACATTTATCTGCATGTGTAGAGGGTCCATATGAAAGAAAAATATCAGATTAAATATTTCAAAAGCAACTAGTTTCCTGAAAATGACTAAGGTACTTTAGACCCACTGACATTTCTTCAAGACACAAAAATCAAGGTAAAATTTATTATCCCTCATTTTTGGATGACCATGATTTGAAAGCTAGGCCCTGTGGCTTTAAAAGTTGATGCACAAGTAAAATTACCATCAGAAAAATATCCCACCAACCCCTTTATGTTTAGTGTTACACTAGTAATTTATTTTTCCTTTCAATTGGACATGCTTCAGTGATGATTTGTTTCTCCCCTTTATTTACTCTTCTCATATGGCATGCTTATTAAATTAATTATTCTGAATCATTAACCATGGAAAAGGATGACATTTCTTCTCTAAATCTATCATAAAACTTTACAGGTTTTTTTAAGTGTTTTATTGAAGCAAGTAATTGACTTGCACTTTTTATTTAGAAGATTTCAAAGCTACACAATAGGAAACACATCTTTAAATATTTAGTACTTTTTCTTGTTGATGGAGGCAGGTTACACAAAACCAGTAGAAAATAAGTAGAAGTTAATATAACCATTCTTAGGTAGGTCTGTAAATCAGGAGATGTTTGGCACAGATCATATTAGTAAACTTTATGAATTAGCTTGATTAAGCACCATCAGGAATAAATATCAATGGTGAAGTGCCTTTTCTTTGTCCCATTTCTAAGATTAAAAAAAAAACAAACATTCTAATAAGCCCTCCCCCATTCTTCCATGCTTATTTACTGTAGCAATTATGCCATTTAAAGTGTGATTCCAAGTGAAGCAGAATGTTTCAGCCTTCTTGATACTAATTTTGTTAGCAGCCAACTCTATTTCCTGTAGTTTTCTGAGGAGATACAATGATCACAGTGGTTTTATCTTTCCATCCATGGCTTTTTCCATCCCCATGACTTTAGAGAAGGTGAATTTGAAGTTATCAGTCCTTCAAAGGAGTCATCAGCCCTTCCTTCTCTTCAAATCTGCTACATTATTTTTTCCACACAGGGAGAGATGTTGGGGAGGGGAGGGGGTGCAGGAGCTATAATTGAACCTCCTTTCAGCTCTGTGGTGCATGGGCAGTGAGCTCTGAGCTCACTGGCTTCTTAGCCCAGTTTGCTTTGGCATGGCTTGAGTACCCAGGAGGTCACCCTGCACCTTCTTGCTAGCTGATAAATTTTGGGACAGGAAAAGTGGCGGGGAGGAAGGAGGGGAGTTGTGGCAGTCTTCACTTCTCACATTCTGGGACCACCCTAAAGTGGCAGTTGTAGTAGGAGCTTCACTTATAAGCCAGGGAGTTCAGAGATCTCACTGCATATGTACTGCATAGCCATGAGTGTAACCACACCTTCATGTTTCCTGCTCCTGGATCTTCTTATGCTTCTACAGGACAAGGTTTATGTCATACATTACTGACTTAAGTCTATCATATGTGATGGTTCAATAGCAACTAAATTAGAAGATGCTGATTTTGATGAAGAACAATACCATTTATTTATACGTTTGTATCTCCTAAAATTCTGTAGCAGGAGGATAATTCTTCATTAAAATGTGAAAGATGAATAAAAAAACCTCTCAAAAATTCATTACACTCTCTCAAATTCTTCAGGATTAAAATAAGGTCAATGGATGCCTCTATATATAATATATGTGGAACATCTGTTACTGTAATGTTTATTGAGACACTGATATGTGTCATAAATCACAAGTGATTTGTTTAATTAAATGTACCATCAGATAATCTTTTACTTCTTGTCTGACAGGGGAATAATTACTTTTCCTTCTAAATTCTGAATCTGGGAATTAGGATGTAAGCCATTCTAGTATACTTTGTTCCTCCTTTCCCAATACTCATACTACCATTTCCTCCATTCCCAGCATGGGACCTAAAATTCTACCCCTTCCCACTGTCTCATCATAACACTGCTCTGAAACTGTGGCAAATACTAACCCATACTTCCCTGGCTATTCTGTTATTGGTAGCACTAGTATAACTGCTTGGTGCAATAAAACAGTTTTATTAGCAGTCACAAGGGTAATGTTTCTCCCATTGATAGAATTTTTCAACCTTATCTTTGTGATATTTTGAAAATATAGGAGGAAAGATATTTCATTTTTAAAAGCAAATGTTATGGTTATCATTAGAGTTTTAATTCTATATCTGCTTTCTGAACAGAACTCCTATTTTCTTCAATAGGAGGTTTGATGTGCAGAGTAGTTGCAGGTGGCAGTCCTGAATATAGGACTTGATTTGCTCAGGTCTAAGTCATGTTAATTGATTAAAAATTTCACCTATTGTTGAGAATTTTTGGAGGGTGCATTTATGTGTACATTGGGAGCAAATTTTAATAACTTTGCCAGCTACTATACAAGATTTGGGGTCAGGTAATTAACCCATGCCAACTTCAGCTGTGACAGCATCAGCACAAAGAGGGTTTATTTTCTATATGTGTACAGCTGAGGTTTCTTCCAGCATGAGGAATGTTGGAGGCCCTCAAAACTCATTCCACACCACTCATGGTGTCCTATTCCCTATGGGGTTAGGTTATATGGTTAAGATATTGTGCATTTCAGTAATCTCTGGTGAAATAACTCCTTCAATCTGGAAAATTTAAAGCAGCCTTGAGGCTAACGTATAGTGTTCCAGAGACAGATTTGAGCTCCAGGAATTGGGATGGGGAGATAGAAGAAAGCCACAACTATCCTATGTGCATGGAAAAGAAGACCAGGGATTCAGCAAAATTTTGTGTACCATTCCAGTACTCAAACCATGAGCTCAGACCACAAATCCTGACCCAAAATTTGATACTGAATTTCACTCCAACATTAAAGTTATTTGCTCTCTGTTTTAACTATGTTATTCTACTAAAATGAGTTAGCTTAGAAATTTGAGCCAGGGCGGAGCAAGCCCAGGCTGGCGGGATGCAAGGGGAATCAGCCCCAGGCTTCAGGTGGTGGCAGAGGGGCTGGTCAGGGCATGAGGGTGCCACAACTACGAAGTCATGTGGCTAGGTGGCAGGCAGGAGTCTGACCCCCTGCTGCTTGGGCTGACTGGGCATAAATTGTGCCTGCGGTCAGTGGCTACATTTGCATTTCAGCATAGTAAATTACTCCACCATAAGATAGTATTGTTGGGGACAGTACTGTCTTACAGCAGAATTAATTAGTTTACTGCTCCCTAATGCCTGTGTACATGTGGATGGTGACACTTTACTGCACAGCTAATAAGCCTACTTGAGGTAAGCTCATGTGTAGATGCACCCCTTGAGTTCCTGAAAAACTGTTAAGGCATTGAGTAGTTGGGTTGTTTCTCACTACTTTTTGTGGATCAGTGTGAGGTAGTATGCCTGATCATAGTTTTATGAAGGTATATCTTTCCAGCCACTTTCAAGATTAACTTACAATCGGTAATACAATTTTTTTTTATTTTAATGATTTATTCTAGTGGTGACCCCAACTCACTCCTGCCACGTCTTGCTGAAAATGTTTTTCTTCTTTTTTGTGAAAGATGGATTTAAACACCACTAGATCTTAACTTGAATATGTTGATTTATTTTCCAGCACAGAACTCTTAAAATCTTCTATGGCTATGCCAATACTACCATGCTTATTAAAAAACAAAACAAAACCAAACCTCACAGTGATCAATTATTTTCTCTGTTATTTGTCTTTTATTAATTTTAATTACACAACATAAATTAATCCATCTTAAATGGTTTAGAATTTTTTTCCCCACTTCTTTCCAGATAGTTTCTCTGAACCCAGGTAAATACAATGTCTCATATAGAAAGAAATCCAGATCAACAACCAAACAAGAAGAAACACTAATAAGATGCTGTGACTTTGCACACTCTTCTCTTAGGGAGACACACCTATCTAGGAATGAAAGTCTTTATGATGTTGTTCATGGCTATCAGCCTCAGGACCACAAAAGTCCTTTTTTTTTTTTTAATTTATTTATTTTTTTAAATCAGTAGGTTCAATATATTCACTTTGACTTTTAGTTTAATTTTTTTCGTAATATAAAACTTAAAAGAAAGATTTTAGTTGTATCTGCTGGGCTCCTGTGTTTTCCCATGTTTCTCTGGTTTTGTTTATACCTTGTTTATACTGACAAGTCCTCAAAATGGAGTCGATCTCTGCTTGTTGAAACTCTTCTTAATTTAGCATCCAGCCACTGTTCACCTCTCCATCATTCCAGCCATCACAGTTCTTCTCCACTTTCCTGCTCTGGGCCACATCACTCCCCCTCCCTTTCATCCAGGTCTCTCCCAGTCTCTGCCCCTCTCTGGGGCCATCCTAACTTTATGGAGCAATAACTCCAGAAGCATGGCTCCCCATAAGATCTCTTTTCCTTCACTGGCTCCTGCCTGCTTCTGGGCAGTATCGGGATCATCTTCTTCTCTTCTTCACGATCAGTCCTAAAGGCAAGGTGATGGTGGGCTGCAAAGTATATGCATTATGGATTTTCAGTGCACCAATATTAGAATAAAGCTGTCCTTTGTGGACTAAAGAAACTGTTCATGTTTGGTGAGTGGACTTTCTTAAATCAACACATACTAGTTGTTAAGGTTAATATTTCATTTGTGGGTTGTTTTTTTAAAAGCACAATCAGTTTTACCTTGATGGTATGATGGTGTATTTTGATGATTCTGTTGGGGAGGGGAAAGCCATGGAATTGACAGTTGAAAAGATGAGTAGTTTAAAAACAATTCTTTAAAATAAAATGTAAAGCTTAAAGTCATATTTTTTTCATAATTACTATACGTTACTTAAACAGCTGGGGAATCATAAAGGAAAGCAATTGCCAATGTGCAATAAAGGAGTGTAATAAAAACTGAAATAGCCACAGAGACTGATGTGTGCAAAACAACAGTGCAACACAAAACTCTGCTTTTTAAAAAAAGTTAAGCTTCCTCCCCATTAAAGCCCATGATTGGATTTACAGGGTTGTGAAGAGATTCTAACGATTTTTTATAATTTGCAGAATGTTTATTGACAAGCAGTGGTCATTTAGGAAACTAGTCTTCTGTAAACTGTTTAGAGGGAGGTTGTTTGTATTTTGGAGTGTGAATATAGTTCTGGTTTGCTAATTTATAATTAAGTACATAATTAAAACAGAACACTATATGCCTACTTCAGGAAAGTAGGTTGAGATGTTTGTAAATGTAACAATGAAGAGAGAAATATTGCAAAATCTGTGTGTTCAATTTATCATACTTATCCAAATTCAAGATGACTTTGAATGGAAGACAACAACCCAATAATTAGATTTTATATATGGGAAATGTATAAATAGATTATAATTTTCCAGATATAGAATCTAATTATCAGAGGGTTGTCTTAAATTTGTTTCTTCCACTGCTACACTGGAGAAGCAGTAGCATAGGCCAGGTGTCCCTCTTTCCCCTTGTCTTCCCCCACCTCCCCAACTTCCACCTACAACCTACCTTAACCCTCTGGTACCTAGCCCACTGGTGCCATAGCTTCTGTCCCTTCTCCCTTCCCCCTCACCTGCTCCCACTAACTGTCAGCAGCACAGCTCTAGCTCTGACTGGCTGAATCTGCCCCAGGTCACAGTGCACATGGAAGTGTAGCACCTGCCCAGCCATGCATTAGCATCTTGGAGATGGAGCTGAGATGCTGCTAATTGGCCAAGCAGGGGATAGAGTTTCCATTTGCTCTGTGGCTGGGGCAGATTTAGCCAGTCAAAGCCGGAGCTGTGCCCGATAGTAAGGTGGGGGAGAGGGCAGGCAGAAGGGGGGACAGGTGGCAGAGGGCAAGTGAAGGGGGTGGGGCAGGTGGCTTCTGTGGTTTTGACTCTGGCCCTGACCTGATTTGTACTTGAATCCAAGATGAGGAGCTTCCCCCTCCCCTATGCTGAATGAGGAGAAGAAACCCTCCTCTTGGATTTGAGTAAATAGGATGAATTACCAACATTTTCTTGTATTTTAACTTGGATTCTGACAAAGGGTTTAAGAAGTGGAATAATGTGAGAAATTCATTCCTGATGCATTGTGTGTGGAGCACCTTACATAGGAGTATGGTAATTTTTCACTTTTCAGGGAATCTGTGAAAAGACTTTGGCTGCTTGGAACAAGGTGGTCTCAAATCTCTTTCCCAGTGCTACCTTTAGTTTAAGCTATGAATTTCCTGAAATCTTACCTAAAAACTCAGAACTTATATCTAAATTGCTAATTCTTACAGTTTTGATCACAAGCTGTAGACTACATATTTAACCATATTAAAGTGACCCCAACTTTGCTGAAAGATATGACCTCTGCAGTGAAACCAGTGGCTTAATTTTTAGTTTGCAGTGTAAACAAGGAGTCTCCTTTCCAAGTCTCCTTTCCAAACAGGAATAGTGCTACATTATATCAAATATCATTGCAAATCATTTACACAGTTATAAATGTTACCTAGCAATATCCCTTGCTATTGATAAAAGAGTGGCTGGAGAGAGGGGGAATAATCCAAAAGACTATACTTCAGACACATTCTGACCACGACACAATATACACACTTTAGCATGAGTTAAGAATTGTAAAACTAGGAGGATAAAACCACATAGAAAAACTGCTTCTCAGTTTCTGTTAAGTGACTTGTCATCTTAGTAAGCGCTTAGTGTTTAACTTAACCATCTTTTAAAATCCCTGTTACCCCATTTTGTGTGCTTTCTGCTGTATATTATGTACCATAAATTTACACTAGATTTCTTCACATATAAATAAAGTGAAATCTGAAAATGCATTATTGAATAAAATTGAATAAACAAAACGTTTCATTGGTGTCACAATATTGCAAGGTTAGTTTCATTCAAGAAATATACATTATATTAAGTTGACAACCTTAAGTACAACTACAAGCAACTGAGAGAGAGAACGCTGTGCTATAATTTATGATATTTTTCATGTTGAGGGCAATCAACAGGCCTCCCGTTATGAAAATCATTGACTTATGCACATAGCTATAGCAAATTGCCTAAATTATATTTAGGTAGTTGCAAACATCATCAGCTTTAATGTTTCAGTGCTTACTTTAGAAAAGCTTAGATGAACTTGGACTATTACATTTACAGTTCTCCAAACATTTGTTATTAACTGTCACCTACTATATAGATATTATGTACTATCATTATGTTGTCCTATTGCAGCAACGCTTTTATATGTTTACTTAACTTCAAAGAATGATTACAGTCCCACTGACTTCAATGGAATGAGTCCTGCACTTAAGGTTAAATATACCTATACATGTTTTGCTGTGCTGTGGCTTTATAGGAAATGGAGGAGCAAATTCTCTCCAGAACTAAATGTAGGCATGTAACTTGTGCTAAACGCATGAAATTTGTAAAAATAATTTGTTCTTAAGAACTGATGTAGCCAAGTATGAAAGGGGTTTTTTGGTTTTTTTAAAAGTTTTTTGATAAAAATAATACTTAAGATTGTGAATACATCTATAATTAGATTAATCAGATCAGTTTTAAATTTTCCCTTCCGTTTGTGTCTGTATGTATGCACACACATGCAAAATTCATGCAATTCTCTGTTTAATTATCTTTAGTTTTTTTAATTAATAATTTAGAGATGGACTTGAAAGAGAACTTCACAACTGGGATCCCTCCATCAGTCCTTTCTCAAGCTCTAGCCCTGAAAACTTAGAGGAAGGATTTACTCTGCAGATCTCTCATATAGGTTTGGGCCCACTTTAGCTATGACATGGAAAGGGACCTGGTTTCTAGATGGTTATTAGGCCTGTGCGAATAGGGAACTATTAGATTCGGATTTGGATTTGGCCGATTCAGAGGCCAGTGATTCGATTCAGAGATTTGGATCACTCTTCCAAATCAATTCAGCCGAATAGGCTTCGGAAGATTTGACGCCAATTCAGAGAGATTCAGAGATTTGGCCATAGAGTATAATGAGGAAATCAATGAAATATCTATAACTTAGACATTTTTTGGCCGATTTAGATGACACTCACAGAGATGGTAGCCCCTTCTGAGGGCATGAAGCCTGACAAGCTTCAAAGAGATAGGTGCAGCAGTTTCTGGGAAACTGCACCTCAAATTCTTGAAAGCAAAACTCATGTCATGTGTATGTGTTAGGCCACAGCAGAGTGAAAGCTGCAGGGATGGTAGCCACTGCTGAGGATATAAAGCCTGCCAAGTTTCAAGGAGAGAGATGCAGGGGGTTCTGGCTTCTGGGGCCCTGCACCTCTGGCTGATGACAGGTAAAACTCGTGACATGGGTGCTTGTGTGACTGAGTGTCTCTGTGTTACAGCACAGGGGGATGAGAACTGCTGCAGGCCTGCTAGGCCCTGCTCTGGCCACAAAACCTGCCAGCTTTCTAGGAGATGGGTGCAGAGGGGTTCCGGGCTCTAAGGGCCTGCACCTCTGGCTGCAGACAGGCAAAACTCATAACATGGGTGGGTGACACTTTGCATGTGTGAAGGTGCACCCTCACTGGTGCTGGAGCCTCTACACAACACAGTAGTATGCCCTAATGAGGCCATCTCCTCCCCTACAGCCTCAGTCTGGTCCACCACTTTACATGACAACAGGTATAAAATGGTAGTGAATGACCACTAATGCACAGTAGCACTAGCAACATCTCAGGTAGCCAAACTGTGACAGAGCCCTTCTTTCCTCTCAAGCAGGAGCTGCTTCTTCTCCACCATGTCCATTAAGGCGTGCCCTCACTGTGCGCATGTGTATTTTTGTTAAGGTGTGCCCTCACTGGTGCTGGGGCCTCTATACAACATGGTAGCATGCCCCAATGAGGTCTCCTCCTTCCCTAAGCCTCGGTCCAGTCCACCACTTTACATGGCAACAGGTAAGACAATCTGGTGAAAAAGCCCTTTGTCATACTGAGGAAGCACCTGCAGTTGGTGTATCTGCTGGTCCTGGATGGAAGGAATAGTAAAGAAGCCAGAGGCTGTCCTGGCATGCAATGCAGGCAAGAAGGCCAGTCAGTGAAAATGGAAATGGAGGCATCAGGGGGTGAGGGACTCACTAGGGCGGGGTGGGGGAAAAAAGGGGGATGTAGCAGTGCAGGTAAAAGTGTAGAAGTACCTGGGGAGTTAGTTGTCCAGCAGGTTGCAGTTTGCAGAACTCCACTATCTATATTGAGTGGACTCTATATTGAGTCCATGAATTTCTGGTCCCTGGGCTGAGGGGTGGAGGGAGGGGCTGGTGCTTCCCTCTGTGACAGTGATGTCTCCCCCCTTCTGCAGACAGAACCTTCCCACAGGCAGCACCTGCCCACAGGCACCCAGCTCAGGCAGTCCCAGGGGGCTTTGCAGCTGCAGAGAGGAGCACTGGGCCCCCATGCATCTCAGGCAGGCAGGCAGGCTCCAGGGGGCAAAAGAAAAAAAAAAGCAAACAAAACACACAAAACATCTTGGGCACAGCCTGCCTTCCTCAGTTGCTGCCAGGCTGCCTGCACAGGCTTCCTAAAGAGCCCCTGAACTGCATGGAGTCCGGTGATTCACTCCACAGCTGTAGGGCAGCAAACAAACTCCTTGGAGGAGTTTTAGTTTGCTGCACCCCAAGTCATTTAAGGCACATTACGCCAACAAATTTGGACAGCTACTGGAATTACTGTACAATACGCTGCCGATGCGTGCAAACACCAACACCATTAAAGCGGGCCAAAAGCATTTAACCCACTTAAAAGTGTCGTGCACACATGCCCTTTGTTTCGTCTACACATGGCCTTAAGCATCATAATCATAAAGCACATAATTTTTATGCTATTAGCAGCATAAAACAGATATTTTTTTTTTGAGAAATCTATAAAATCTCAACAAGTGCATCCTGGAGTGGAAGATTATTCCAACATTCTTCCAGAAAGTTTTCTGTGTTGGGGAATTTTTTAACCTCTTTAATTTAGTTTTTACAGTACTTTCCAGATAAATGTCTTAGCTTGAAATATATACATGAGGACTGCTGCAGAATTAGAGATTTTGGTGACCTATTCAAAGCTCCCCCAAGTCCTGACTCTTCAGCACACATTTAAAACCCTTTGAGTTTAATGGAACACAAAAACATGCTTGAAGTTTTAAGCATATGCTCAAGTGCTTTCCTGGAGCAGGGCCATAAACTAGCTGTAATTACAATCACTATTAATGTTATGATACTAACATTTCCTGTTGTTACCATGTCCCCTCCTTCCCTCTCTCTCTTTCTGATTTTTATGTCATCCAATTATTGCAACTAGAATTGAGATGCAAGCTTCACTTGAGTCAGAGCCTTGCTGCAGGGACACTCAGCATGTGTTGAAGTTAGAATGTGTTCTGACCAGTTGCATGGTAATGCTTACTATGATTGTATAACTGGATCCTGATGGTGCCTCATACCTAAGCCAGTTGGAGGCTCCAGTGAAGTCCCAGAGCTGGGACTAAAAATCAGTCGATTGTTGGTCTTAGCCCTAGGACTGCTGCAGAGTCTCCACAGACAATCAGCTGACTTCCAGTTCCAGCCCTGTGACTGCAGTGGATCATGTAATCTCTGCTAGCAGTCACACATTAGCTCAACACATTACTTAATACAAGTGCATTTAGCACATATATCCCACTTGAATGTGCGGACACTTGTATTTTAAGTGTATTCAATAGGGATATGCAAAGCTTTGGTAGTCTATTCAATTTGGAGGAGATTCGGCAACCAAATCTCTGAATCCAAATTGAATTGGGAGACCAATTCAAAGTTCTGAATCGAATTGGAAGCCTCTGAATTGATTCAGAAAAAAGATCCAGCCAATTTAGAGATTTGGCCATAGACTAAACGGCAGCAGTCCTCACCACTCTGGACACAGCTGCCTCCAGCTAGTGAGTCTGTTGAGGGGAGGGAAGGGGTGGATTGGGGATGGGACAAGCTGCCCGGCTATGGTGGGGGGTGTGGGATTTGGGGAGGGGGG